TCTAAGTGGGTGCCGCGATTGCTTTCGATGGAACAAGAACAGCAACGAGTCGATGATTCAGAAAGCTGTTTTATCGCTGAAACTGAAACTTATTTTGAAGCGAAAGATACATTTTTTTATAAACATGGTATTGGAAAATTAGAAAAGCGTTGGAACCATTGTATCACCCTAAAAGGAGATTATGTTGATGAATAAAAAAAAATTTTGTAAAAAAAATGTTGTTTTCATTGTTAGTCTCGGGACTTATTGATCCATGTGTTACCAATGCCTGAGGAAAGGGGGAATCAAAAAGGTCTTGAACATGTTTCACTATCCCGTAACCTGGAAGATAAATGACTTGGTTTATCGCATTCAGGTCCTTGGACCAAACCATTGGTCGTATTTTCCCGGTACTTGAAAATAATAATAGTATGAAACACCTGAAAATCGCACAATAATCTTAAAGGCAATCTTGATCAAAACTAGGAAATAACGGTATTCACTTTTATTTTATCAAAATATGGACTAGTATGTTCAGCTAATTCACGAATTAATTCGCCCACTGCCACAGTTCAAAATGTGTTTAAACTATCATGTCCTGCAATTCTTTTGTTAGATAAACACATTGTTCACTGCATTATTTATATTCAGCGGCTCTGGAGGCTGAATTAGACCTAATAAAATACAAAGAGTGCTACATTATTAAAAGAAGACACCACAGGTGGTACCAAAAGTTCTAGCAGTAAACTTGAAGAAAGGGAGGACTATTGCGTATGGACTTTTTTGCAATCAAAATGTTTCAAGAAGAACAGAAAATTCGTACATATACACGTAGTGGTCATGATTTGGCAGGGATTTGAAGAATTCATTCATTCATTTGAGTGTAGAAACATAAGTAGCTGTTTTATTCCCTCAGAATTAGATCGAAGTGAAGGTTTAGGACCAAAAGGGATCTCTCCAATGCTTTTTTCAGTTTCCTAGATGAAGTTACATGAAGCCTATCTACAAGCTTTGGGACAGAGTGGTTTCTATGGACACTTATCCGGCACAAAATCAGGCAAAAGGATAACATTCAAATTTATATAACAGTAAAATACAGTCCGCGTACTTCGATACTCAACATTATTTTGTGCCTCCTAACTGGATACTCGTGTTTTTGGTTTGAACGCTGTTTTTTGCAAATTGAAGCGGTACTTTTGCTTACAGATAACACAAAAAAGTGGTGTTTTCGTTATCAAATTTCTCTCACTCATATTTTAGTATGGAACTCACGGATAGATTTATTGAGTTGCTCTATAACTAGTTTGGAAAGCACAAATCATTTGTGTGACAGAACCCAAGTTTTAAAATTCACCACATCACTTTCAGCTCAGGAGCACCGCAAGGAAGCCATTCAGGGCCATTCCTTTTGAATATTTTCGTCAATGAAATCAAGGCAAAAATTAGTCTTTCTGAAGTAATAATAATAATAAATAATAATAANTCTTACTGACTGTTCTCTATTGAGTAAATAGCTTTCAAACAGTTTCAGGCAATTGCCCCTAATACCGTTATTTTCCAATGTATTCAGAAGTTTTTTATGATCCACGGTGTCAAAGGCTTTTGAGAGATCAATGAATAGACAGAGAGAGGGTGTGGAGTTCTCTAAAGCCTTGTGTATCTTCTCAGTTAAAGTTATTAAAGCATCATCGGTGGAAATATTTTGTCTGAAGCCAAATTGTTTCTCTGAAATTAGCTGATATTTGTTTATAAATGACGTCAACCTATTTTTCAATAATTTTTCAAAAACTTTCGATAAGTGTGTGATCAGGGATATTGGTCTGTAGTTGTTCACTGAGGTTTTATCTCCTCTTTTGTAAATTGGGCAAATTACTGATTTTTTGAAGGCATCAGGCCAAACACCTTTAGATATACATTGATTAATGATGAATTGAAGTGGTTCAATAATAAACTGAGAAATTGATTTTATTAGTTCTGATTTAATTTCATCATAGCCTACCAATTTGTGATTTTTTAACTCATTTATTAGTGTAGTCAGTTCTTTGGAGTCGGTATGTGTTAAAGCTAATGTATTGATATTTGATAATGACTGTGATAATATTCGGAAGAACATTTCATCTTTTGATATTAATGAGTCTTAAAGTTACTCACAACACTGTCTCCATGTTGAATATGCCTTTTAAAAAATTAATTCTATGACTGCTAAATTCTAAAATAAATTGTCCATCTCTTCTTTCTCAATATAGTAGTGTATATCTGATATTTGTTCTAATTAGGAGTAACCCGTGAATAAATAAATAAATGAAATACGTTAGTTAGTTGAGGATTTCATGCATATCATAATCATCTTAGGAGTTATCATAAAATTGAAACTGTCGGGCGACAAAATAATTTCAAGCGGCCTCACACAATAATTGCAATTGTTTTACGTAGTGAATCAGTTTGAGATCAAAGTCGAATTTTTGTTTTGTGTTAGATGTGGTAAAAGTACTAAAATCTAGCTACGAATTTCGTTTGTCACTTTGTATTTTGACATTGAGAAAATTTCCCATCTATAGTTCATATGAATAATTCCACCAGGATTTCAAAATGCATTAGATATTCGCGATAGGAAAAACATGTTTGGACTTGCAAATAATGATATGATCGCACTCAACACTGTAATTGAAAAAAGAAACAACAGCTCGTGAGACTAAGTATATTCATCAACTATAATTGTTTTCTGCGAACACCAAATTGATTTATAGTTAATCGTGTGTATTAAAGTTTTCAAGCAGTGGTTTTGTTTTAATTTGAAAACTTGCGGTATAGAATATATGAAATACGTGGTACACATATGGATTTATCGATATTAAACAAACAAAACATATTAATTTACCAAGAAATGTAGCAGTCCACAAGGTCATCATCTTAGTCATCGGTTTTTACAACGTGAAAACCCGATATTTGGAAAAATATTAAGAACGGCTGAATCGTGTGTCAATGATACACTCTGCCACTTGCAAAGAGTTTTTAGAGGATGAACAAGATCACAAGACCTGAAAGTTTTAATCGATAAATCTCTATTTTTTTTAAACGAAAACTATTTGGGTCGAGTGGTATTCGTAAAGATTATTTTCTATATATCCTCAGCTGAATGCATCGATATGAGAACAAAATATCAATTCTCAAATAAAATCAATTTTATCACTTGAATAGCGAGAACAGCAAAAACATTATTCGAAAGTACAAATGTTAAAAATATAATATTCGAATTTATGAACAGAGTACGTAAATGACTAAACTCGCATTTTTCAACAATGGGATTTCATTGTTAAAATCTATCGTGCCTTGACACGTTATACGAACAATTGACGAAGTATTCCCAGCTGATATAACCGCCCTCTCCAATCAACTTATATCCAGTAGGGTGTTGTTTTTCACGAACAAGCAGATGCTACCGCAATGGACAGTCTATTAAGTCCGGGGGTGGCGAACTTTTTCATGGATAATTTCGAACAATGCAAACTTCCGTGGAACCTTATCGTTGGCTACTTTATGTTGGTGAATCCAAAAATCCAATTCACAATGGAACAAGAACCCCCAAGGGACTATAGCCTTCTTGGATGTTCATGTGGACAGACTTGAAAACTTCAACCACCAGCCACGATAATCCGGTCAATCTAGACATTGGAAGATACATGAATTTACAACAAGCTGCAAACTTATTTTCGCCAATGAACTTATCCTTCAACATTGAAATGAACCGAGAATACCGATTACAACTTTTACAACTTTTTGACTCGTCGTATCTCAGAAACGGTGGCTCTAAGAAAAAAAAGTATTGAAACATTTTTTGTAGAGAATGTTATGATCTACAATTTTTATTTGAGTTTATTTTATGATAAAACTTGCCGTTTTCCTGAAAATCGCAAAAAACCAATTTTTTTCGAGATTTTTGACCTTTGACCTCGAATAAATTTTTTTCCAAGCATCGCAATCATTCAGAATTTTAATATATTATTTTTAACTATGTTGTGAACAATTACACGCATTTGCAGCTTGTTGTAAATGTATGTACCTTCACTCTTATTTTTTATTCTAATTTGACCGGACTACGACAAAAGAAAGGGGTAATTGGAACGTTGATTGAGCGAGCATGGCGTATCTGGTATATGTCGAGTAAGAAGGGTGAGTGTAGACTCACAGCACTTAGGCCACATGTGACCCATTGTACATCCTCTCGAGGAGTTGTCCTCCTAGGTCATCGTCCATCCTGTCCTTTCCAGGAAGGTGGACAGGTCACTGGGAGACATCTCCTTTATATTGGCAGGTGTAGGCCAAGACTCGCCGAACTCACACTCTCTTTGGAAGGTTTTGGAAGGTGCAGCGATATTACTGTCGTTGCGCGGCGTCTTCAACCTTCTTGGGGTTCCCTCCGTGGAGGTGCATAAGTGAGGGAGCTTTCCTGCAGGGGCAGCCGGTTCCTTGACTTTATTCGAGACGGAGCTCTTGGCTCCCGCCGCAGGAAGTGCGCTTGCTGTTGGAGGTGATCTGCTATGTCCAGCCTCATTCCAAGCAGTGGATTGGGGTGGACATTTCTGTTCATCCCCAGCCATCCCCCCATCTGTTTTTGTGTTGTTTCATTCATGTGTGTTCCCACGAGTAGCAAGGGTAGGCACCTTAGCTTGGGTAGGCTGGTCCACGGATGACGTATTTGTGAACCTGAGAGTTCCTGAGGAACTCAATCACCTGAAAATGCCTTTGAAGGGAATGGGTACAGCGAAGGAAAATTTGAGTGGGCCATACGACCCAGAAGAGTAACCCCAGCTAGGCTCCTCGAGGGAAAAGCTTTTCTCCTGTACGTTGAAAATGTTACAGGCCGGATTGGGAGACTCTTAGAGAAACACGACGTGAAACCAATATTAGACCAACAGAAAACTTTCAGACGCATGACAAAAATAGCTTAGGTTACGTTAAATCTGCATTTTTGACCCAACATATGAACTCAGTTTTATGAAAATGCTCCTTATCTCTTCTAGGACCTGATTACATCGAAGCGAAAAAATAGAAAAAGGAAATGGTTGCTGATTGGAGTTACCGTAGTGTTAGCTGTCATTATATTATTGGCGGCGATCATCATAGTAGCTACGAGAAAGAAGAACTCAAAAGTAGGACCAACAGCAGCTTCATTGACACTGGATGATTTTCTGCATGGGAAATTTCTTACAAAGGGTTTCAATGGCACTTGGACATCCGGTAAGTATTTACTTTTCATTGTTTCTACCTGTGATTTTTTCAAAATGGTTAATCTTTCGACAGCTCTGAGGGATTTTCCTTCGATTCATAAGATAATAGTAATAATAGAATGGTCTTTATTTTTATCTTGACCGAGTTAAGCTTACGCTATTCTACCACTCAACCAAGAATATTTTTATACATGAGTGTATTAATAGTGATACAGTAGCATAACTTAAAACCAGTACCTAATCTAGGTTTTAACATCATATGACAAAAGTATGCAGAGGCAAATTAATTTGAAAAAAACATGATGTGAAATGAATTAGATAATTAATTTAGGTTTAATTTAATTTGATTCAACTCAGGTAGATTCATTGTTTACCGAAAANTTAAGGACTTTCCTTTAAGAATTTTCAAACAGTGAAGTTCGAGGTGTACTGAGTTGAACCTCATAACGATGAGCAGCCACAGTCCGTCGCGTATTTCTGATATGTACCGCTCTTGGTAGAATCAACTGTGCCAGGTCACACACCTCCCGTGAAAGTATCAATAAGGCAGATGGCTCTTTTCTGGATAGAATCCAGCAGCTTCAGGATATGCAATTATCATTACCCATTCAAAGAATTCTAGGTTTAATTTGGAATCCTGATGAAGACAAGTTTGGTTTTTCAATAAAATGGAATAAAGATGACTTTCAGAACTTGACCAAAGCACCTGTTACAAAAAGAGATGTCTTAAGAACAGTGATGACTATCTTTGATCCATTTGGGTTCTTGAGCACCTTTACAATCATGACAAGAATTCTGCTCGAGAATATTTGGCAAAATAAAATGGGCTAGGATGATAATCTCACTGAAGTTATGATGATCAAATGGAAAAAGTGGAATCAAAAAATTGAAAAATTGACTGATTTAACCATTCCCAGATGTTACGTTTCGAGTGTATTCGATGCTCAAGAAATACAGCTACATGTCTTCTGTGATGCTAATGCTCAGCCTTACGCTTCTGTTGCTTATTTCCGTATCACCAAAAAAAAATTTCTGAAACATGTTTCGTAATAGCGAAGTCCAGAGTTACACCAATAAAACAACAGATATCCATCCCTACGCTAGAACTTCAAGTTGCAGTTTTAGAGAGCAGATTCGCAGTGACCATTAAGAACACCACAGTATCATAATCAACAAAATGTTCTATTGGACAGCCTATTATAGGCTGGATCAAATCAAAATCCACAATTTTTAAACCTTTTGTGGCACACAGGGTGTCTGAAATTATAGAAACCACTGATGTAAGGAGTTGGAATTGGGTACCAACGAAAGAAAATGTTGCCAATTTTGCAAAAATAAAAGAGCAAAACCAGAACTACCAGAGATGGCACCATAACCTCATCTGTTCGACCTTTCACCATAGTCGGAATGGACTGTTTTGGGCCTATGAATGTTTCTGTTGGCCGAAAACATGAAAAAAGATACGGAGTACTGTTTACATGCATAAGGACCCGTGCAGTTCATCTTGAAATGGCATACTCTTTGAGTACAGATTCGGCAATAATGGTCATAGAGGGTGTCCCAAAAGGTATTTTCCGATAATGGTACGAACCTGAGACGAGCATCAGGTGAACTTAAGAGAGTCTTAAGAGATTTGGACCAGAATAAGTACTCAGAACTGATTTATTTACTAGAAAACAGTGGCGAATATCTCAACTTCTCTCGGATCATTTTTGGAGACGATGAATAAAGGAATATCTACTTGTTTTAATCAAGAGAACTAAGTGGTTTTCTTCGTCCCTAAGAAAAGTCAAGGTTGACGATGTGGTTATCATAGTTGACTACCAGTTTTACAGAAACACATGGCCAAAAGGTATCGTCACTGAGGTTCATCAAGGAAAATGTGGTCACATTCGACTGGTAGATGTTGAAACATCTACATTATTAGAGATTTTTTGAATAGTTGGCATAAAAGAAACAAAATTTGAATACTTGTCAAACATAAAAACCACGTCTTGTCATTCAAAGTATTTTCATTCAAAAAACTATTAAAACCAAAGGCAATTTCAAAACCAAAACTAACCGGAGTCAGAAACAGCTTTCCTTTATTCTAAGTTTGCAGCTATTGCGAGCGTTAACAAACCTAGTTAGGTTTTCGGCGCTTGGATTTTTGTGCCACTGCCGGTAGGCGAGATTTTTGGAAGCGACAGCTTGCTCGCAATTTTTGTTGAACCAAGGTTTGCCGTTAGAAGTTCGTTTCATTGAAAAAGAAATATATGCAACCATGGATGATAGAATAACTTCCGTGACTTCAGAAACAAATAGATCCTCCCACTCAGCAGATCTGCAATGCCAAACTTTGCGCGGCAATTCACTCAACACTGAAATAAGTTTGTGATCAGAAGATCCCAATGGAGACCTTACGGTGACTGTGTATATTTCTGGATTGGTTGTTAGATATAGATCCAGAAGACTAGCATATTCTCCATCACGGTCATGAATCCTGGTTGGCTCAGTCATAATCTGAGTAAGTCCGCTGCTTATTGCAAAAGCCTCAGCTTCGCGACCTTGTTCGTCATTGATATTTGAAAATTTGAGCCAGGCTGAATGAATGACAACTGATTTGACAGATATAGCTTCAACAAGATGACCATTTTCAATTGTCAAAGATCGGAACCCTGTCGGAAGATCCTATGTATGTATAGAAGGAATTTCAAAGCCAAACAATATATAAACCAACGAGAACTATCAGAAAATCTATTTTATATATAATAATTCAAAAAATTATGGATCAAACATGTTTGTAAAACTTTTTTTACAATTACTAATTCTATCAATTCACATCGGTTTCTATATTCTATAGTTCTCCCTGAATGTTCAATCCAGCAAGCTGATTCTTTTGCTATTTGTAAACCGGTAGGCCACATACGACTGACGAATTACATTTTTGAAAATTTTCCGGAGTACCGATCATAATTGGCTCTCGCGGAATGCAATTCCAGTATGGAAATTGACTTGTGCATCTCACTAACGGCTATAATTCGAATGCCAGCAACACAAATTACTAACGAGTCCGAAAATAACCTCGGGGTCACTGTTTTGTTCAACTAACCAGCCGAAATTGCATAATTCGTAACAAATTCAATTAGACTAGTCTCTAGTTTCATAATAGACTTCCTTTTGTTGCAGTAATTAGGATGATGTTCAGCCTGTTCTTTTCCTGCATACCGCTGTTTTTTTTCTACGGATTTATCATTTTTCAGCTTGCTTGAATAGNCTGTTCTCTATTGAGTAAATAGCTTTCAAACAGTTTCAGGCAATTGCCCCTAATACCGTTATTTTCCAATGTATTCAGAAGTTTTTTATGATCCACGGTGTCAAAGGCTTTTGAGAGATCAATGAATAGACAGAGAGAGGGTGTGGAGTTCTCTAAAGCCTTGTGTATCTTCTCAGTTAAAGTTATTAAAGCATCATCGGTGGAAATATTTTGTCTGAAGCCAAATTGTTTCTCTGAAATTAGCTGATATTTGTTTATAAATGACGTCAACCTATTTTTCAATAATTTTTCAAAAACTTTCGATAAGTGTGTGATCAGGGATATTGGTCTGTAGTTGTTCACTGAGGTTTTATCTCCTCTTTTGTAAATTGGGCAAATTACTGATTTTTTGAAGGCATCAGGCCAAACACCTTTAGATATACATTGATTAATGATGAATTGAAGTGGTTCAATAATAAACTGAGAAATTGATTTTATTAGTTCTGATTTAATTTCATCATAGCCTACCAATTTGTGATTTTTTAACTCATTTATTAGTGTAGTCAGTTCTTTGGAGTCGGTATGTGTTAAAGCTAATGTATTGATATTTGATAATGACTGTGATAATATTCGGAAGAACATTTCATCTTTTGATATTAATGAGTCTTAAAGTTACTCACAACACTGTCTCCATGTTGAATATGCCTTTTAAAAAATTAATTCTATGACTGCTAAATTCTAAAATAAATTGTCCATCTCTTCTTTCTCAATATAGTAGTGTATATCTGATATTTGTTCTAATTAGGAGTAACCCGTGAATAAATAAATAAATGAAATACGTTAGTTAGTTGAGGATTTCATGCATATCATAATCATCTTAGGAGTTATCATAAAATTGAAACTGTCGGGCGACAAAATAATTTCAAGCGGCCTCACACAATAATTGCAATTGTTTTACGTAGTGAATCAGTTTGAGATCAAAGTCGAATTTTTGTTTTGTGTTAGATGTGGTAAAAGTACTAAATTCTAGCTTCGAATTTCGTTTGTCACTTTGTATTTTGACATTGAGAAAATTTCCCATCTATAGTTCATATGAATAATTCCACCAGGATTTCAAAATGCATTAGATATTCGCGATAGGAAAAACATGTTTGGACTTGCAAATAATGATATGATCGCACTCAACACTGTAATTGGAAAAAGAAACAACAGCTCGTGAGACTAAGTATATTCATCAACTATAATTGTTTTCTGCGAACACCAAATTGATTTATAGTTAATCGTGTGTATTAAAGTTTTCAAGCAGTGGTTTTGTTTTAATTTGAAAACTTGCGGTATAGAATAGATGAAATACGTGGTACACATATGGATTTATCGATATTAAACATACAAAACATACTAATTTACCAAGAAATGTAGCAGTCCACAAGGTCATCACCTTAGTCATCGGTTTTCACAACCACTTCTTCAACGTGAAAACCCGATATTTGGAAAAAAATTAAGGACGGCTGAATCGTGTGTCGTGTTAAACGAAAACTATTTGGGTCGAGTGGTATTCGTAAAGATTATTTTCTATATATCCTCAGCTGAATGCATCGATATAAGAACAAAATGTCAATTCTCAAATAAAATCAATTTTATCACTTGAATAGCGAGAATAGCAAAAACATTATTCGAAAGTACAAATGTTAAAAACATAATATTCGAATTTATGAACAGAGTACGTAAATGACTAAACTCGTATTTTTCAACAATGGGATTTCATTGTTGAAATCGATCGTGCCTTGACACGATATACGAACGATTGACTAAGTATTCCCAGCAGTTATAACCGCCCTCTCCACTCAACTTATATCCAGTGGGGTTTTGTTTTTCATGAACAAGCAGATGCTACCGCAATGGACAGGTCTATTAAGTCCGGGGGTGGCGAACTTTTTCATGGATAATTTCGAACAACGCAAACTTCCGTGGATCCCAAAAACCCCTTTTTCATAATACAATCTCTCGTTTTGCGAAATAACCTGACGTTGTGGAATTTTTTGAGTATTTTTTCAGTTTTCAGAACACCTCAATACAAAGAAATCAGTTGAAAATATCCAGACAGCTTTTTTTGCTGCAGACTTGTGTTTTTTATATTACATTTTCAACGTATCGTCTAAATCACCTGTTCGTGGAGTTTAAACATTAAAATTAGATTTAACGTGGTATTATTTCCAAGTTGACTGCCTGATTTAAAATTTTGATTCATTTCTACGGCACTTCCGGAAAAACACTGAAATGTAAACCCATTCACGTTTTTTACCACTGGAATTGTCGAATTCTTGGGTTGCTAAATCAGGCGATCCATCAAAGTATCAGCTAGATCTAAGCGTCTATGCATAATATGTATAAAAAAAAACTTGTTTACTTACTATGCTGCTTGCGTGAGGTTCGTGTCAAATATTCGTTTTACGGACCCCATATCGGCCTTATAATATCCGGTGGAATTTTGTTTTCACCGTGACGAAAACCACCACAAAATTGAGTGCTAACACTGAAAGTTTTTCAAAGTGAACCGCCCATTAGGCAAAATGATTCATACCATGCCACTTCCTGTTTGTTTATGATCGTAGTGATGGAGATCAGGAGAATTTTCTTTTGAGTTTACTCGAGATACAAAGAATATCCCTGATGTGGTTAATTGGTCCCCCTCCTCAATGTAAAACATTTCGTCAAAAACGTTTGACCTAGGGCACACTTGATAAAAGGTTTGTTCTGGTTCTCTCTCTCTCTCTAATTATATGGACGTTGCTTCCCACTCGGGCGCATTTGTCCAGGCTCCTCCTATCAAATTGACATCAATTTGACAGAAGCTTCGTCGGGAGGGGCGCAGCTGTCTTGCTCGAAGCAATGCTGCCACCCCTTTTTTGTCACACTTTTTACAATAAAAAAAACCAATGTGTTTTTAATGTCGCCTTCTAATCAGGAGACATTTTGATTTACTCTACGAAGTTCAAGTTCTAGGACATCACGATCATGCGCAGTTGATATAGAGCGTTCTGCAAAATGACCCTGAACTGTTTTTAACTGTCCCGAATCCTTCTTGCTCTCGAGGCTGAACTGTTGAAAACTGTTCCCGTTGCTCATGCCCATTCGTGTGGAAATTTGTTTGGGCTATTTGCTAGGATGTTTTTTTTTATTTATTTGATTTGAATAATTGATGATTGAGAGTAGATAACATTTGAACTGACTATAGGGATACGCTACATAACAAAATGGACATGATCAATAGTATTTTCTCGTCTCCATCTCTTCATATATACGATAGGTGGCACAGTGGTCTCCTCAAAAGCGTTCTGATTTAAACAAGTGTCCGAGACTATTTCGAACTGTTTGAGATTTTTTGCTTGTACGCGCAGTTTCCAAACAGTTTCGGATGTTAGAACCAGAACAAACCTAAAGAAATAACGAAGAGATCCAATACATTCTACTATTTGGGACTACCATTGTCTAATGATTCTAATTTTATTCGGAATCTATGAAAGAACAAATAAAATTAGAATGAATATCTAAAATATCGGTAAATATTCTAAATATAAAATCTAAAATATTCGTTTTGAGGGCACCCGGTGATTTTGAAAAAAATGTTGAGTGTACTTACGTATTTTGATGCGTAGATTACGAATCCGAAAGAAAAAAGCAGCGCTCTTCCTTATTTACGAAGTTACGGCCCTTCAAAGTTCAGAAAAGGGCAACTTTTCAGCCTTATTTTTCACAAAATAAACTATTTAATAACGCAAGCCATTTATTCATTGGTCACCTTTACACCTTATTCCTCCTTCCTTGATACTTTTCACTTCAACAATCAACATTTTTCCAATAAAAATGTTAAAAAATGTACGGAGCTGCCTTTTGGTTATATATCTCTGTATTTTACTTTTTTAAGGTTAATGGCATAGTTGGTATGACTGATGCTGTCAATATTCCTAAAGTAATTCAAATGTTTTTTGCCTTCATTCTTTTTGTTTTTCTAATCACTCACGTCAAACTAAAAATTTTAATCTACGAATTAGAAATAGTAGGCGGTGGCAAATACCAACCATTTTTTCTGAAATGTCATTAGGAACTAACCTAGAAATAAAGGAATGTCACCAGAAGAAGCATCCGTTTTTAAATTAGTTTTTTCATAAGGAAAATGTTGATTGTTGAATTGAAAAGTTTCAATTAAGAAGGAATAAGGTGTAAAGGTGGCCTAGTGAATGAATGCTTGTGTTTTCAAATAGTTTATCTTGTGAAAAAGAAGGCTGAAAAGTTGCTCTTTCCTGAACTTCGAAGTAGGTACACTCAAAAAAAATTTCAAAATCGCCAGGTGCCCTCAAAACGAATATTTACCCCTTTGGTATAGTGAATAATATTACTGGAGTTTTTCCCAACACCAGGAGGAAGATAAAAACTGATCTTCCTCTTGAAGATCAGTTTCCTCTTGAAGATCAGTTTGGTGATCGAAACACGTGTCGAGGTGTTGAAATAACGGTTTGATTGCTCCAAAGTGATGGTGGAATAGAATTTGGCTAGAAGACAGCAAGAACCTTGCAAGGGAGAGAAGCCGTCACAACCAGTGCTTGCCCTTCCCTACATCAGAGGATTTTCGGAAAGGGTAAGAATAATTGTGTCCAAATACCTGCTTCAGATCCGGATACACCATTCGTAGTGGTCTCACCAGGCCACCAAACGCGGATTGCGAATCCAAGAATTGCAGCATCGGATACCCTGTGAGTGCGCAAATCCTATATCGGTAAAACTAAGAGGCCATTGGAAATCCGCATTGCCGAGCACAAGAGAAACACACAGCGAGAAGAAACCAGCAAATCGGTATAAGGAGGAAAATTAGTAGAAACTTCATGATATATCTATATAATCAGTACTATTCCATATCTCCAGAACCAGTGAATGATGAATAAACGGGCTCTGAAGATGCGTCCAACCACAGTAGGTGCATACATCATGTCAGTTACTGTGTTTTGTCATGGAAAAGCCGACTGAATTTTTTTCTACGTCAATTTATTTACATTCCAAAGATAAAACCCTGCCAAATTACATTATCTTTTTCCTCTCTGTTCGTTAATACTTTTACAGGCGTTAAATTCCTTAAACGAACCGTAAGATTCACACGGGTCGGAAGCCGAATCAAATCGTGAATGGTTTGTATTCATTTGCGATGCTATACGCAATTAGTTCTCCTGGCCGGTAAGTGGAGGGCTTGATATATTACCTCAAATCGCTACCGAATCGCTTGGATAGGATCCAAATGGGTTCATCTGAATAATCGTATACACTAAATTCGTCCAAGGATAGGCTTCGGATCGATTGAGGCGTAATAATATAGTTGATATACGGAAATAGTAGTAACACTATATTGATGTGTGAGACATTTACAAGTTCCGGAACAAAAATAGAATTAATATTGTGTGAAATACTATCTCCACCCAACGAGAGCTTGAAAACGGAGTCCCTCAAGGATCAACACTTAGTGTCACCCTTGTCTCGATAGCAATCAACAATATCATTGAAAACATCAACCCAATGGTAGGAAAAAGCTTGTATGTTGATGATATGGCAATTTTTTTTCTTCCTCATCAATTCAAAAAATAGAAGAAACGCTTCAAGACACTATCGATAAATTGGAAAATAATGCAAACCGTCTTTGTTTCAAATTCTCTACCAATAAAACTAAGTGTATCCACTTCTGTCGTCTACACAATATTCACAATGACCCAAANAAGAATTAAAATATAAACATACTTACAAAAGCAACTGTCAGTAAGATATATCTCACATTATAATAATAAAATTAATAGTAATTTATTTTCGTCAATGGGTACATTATGTACATATGGCAGGATAATTGAAAACAAAAAGCTATTATAACTATTCATCGCGCTAAAAACGGCTTGAAATGCAATTAAACAAATCGTTGACGAAAATCACAAAGTATAATAGTCCAAGAATAGATCTTTGAGGTATTCAGTGTGTCATTGCTTTGGAATATAACTCAAAATTATCATGGTAAACGGCCCGATAACTATTCAACAAATTTGATTCAATAAGTGAAAGTATATCATTTGTTCGTCAATTGAAAAATCACCTCTACTGCATTCCTTCATTTATTTTTTTTTTTTAGGTGACGATTTGATATATTCCGATTCAAATGGCAATATTGTTCTTCTCAATCTCCAGAATAAAACGTCCACAGTTCTCATAGACTCATTGGATAACGTTAGTATTAGCTTTATCAAAACAGTTATCTTCATAACAGGTATTAAAATATTTATTTTTGCAGCTCTCTCTCGTGTCCTTCGATTTTCAATTGTCTGCTGATGGATTATATTTACTCGTGGCTTCGAATTATCAGAAGGTAAGATTTGGTAAATAAAGATAAAACATTTTTATAGATATCATCCTCGTGTATATACGAGGGCTGATCAAAAAATAGAATGATTGTAACATTCAATAAATTTCAAATAAGTTTCATTATATGTATATACAGGCTGATTCACGGTGGATGGCACATTAGACGTTTCTGGTGAACCAGACAACGGATCACTTTGAAAATTTAATGGAGGGCATATTCGGACATTCTCTAGCCAACTAAAATATTTTCGACAATGCGGTGTTGCCGCTTCTATTAGAAAGCAGTAGCAACTTTGATTTTTCAAATG